AGGCATTCGAATGCGATCGTGGACTTCGCCGTCATTCACAGGTACATGCTGACGTGGGTCCGCGTCGCTGCGAAGAGTGTTTCGGGATATTTAGGTTCAGTATGTGATCTGCCAAGGAAAAAAATCAAGTATTCTTCAAATTTAGGTCGCCGTTGGCCCTACGACGTCATCTCGACCAGTGCCGACAATGCTATATTGCTCCAATCCAAAATGAAATTGTTCGTGTTAAATTGAATTATTCAACATGTTTGTGTAAGCATTCACATCTTCGTAAAAGTCGCAAAAGGGAGGCTTTTTGCGTTCTCGCTTCTCCAATATTTTATTGTCATGCTGATTCTTGCTAGGAAAGATGGTGTTTCTACCTTTTGGCAATTACCTCTTGAGATCTGCTAATTATAAGCATTGTTCTAGATGGTCTCAGTCCATTCACCATTTGATGCGTTTTCCTTCATACCTTCGGAAAGCGAAGGAATGTTTTCATTTGAGTCGTCGATCAAGGATAGTAGCAGCGGATATGAATTAGACTACCACCATATTCCTAGAAGGTTTGGATTTTTGCTTCATATGAACGTAGCAAATCGCAGCATTCTTAATAGTATGCCTTTTATACCACCTCATATATAACGTTATTAACATCTTGCTTCGTCAGAGTACGGTTTTTTAGATCATCGCTTCCCTTGGATGTGGATCCGTTTGACATGTTCGCATCAAAGAAGAAGGAAAAAGAAGACGACGAAGATAGTGGATTTCGTTCTAGGGTTAATTCTGGTCAGTTCTCCTTTTAAATTCCCAGTGAAATTATCTCGAGAGTAGAATTTCATCAATCACTTTCATAGTTACCCAATCATGCTCTCCTGCGTCATCCGCATTCTCCTCAGAAGGTGGGTCCCCGCAGAGAAAAACAAGCACAACTGAGGTCCAGGAAACTGCCAGTACATATACCCTTGGAGGTTTCTTTCTAAGCTTACATGTGTCTCCTCGATATCCAATAAGATTCTATAACAGGCCAAGTTGATTGTTGTGAAAGAGCTTTCAGGATACGGCACTGGGCCAACATATGGTCAACAGCTATTTCAGCCATTTGAACCTGGAGACGGTGCTAACAATTTCGCTGCATGAAAGGTTTCTATGTTGCTCACTTTATAACATTCCATAATTTGAGTAACTCTGTGGTCGTTGCTTTTGTGGATATGCATATATGTTCGCGATGTGTCATTTTAAAGCTAGAATTTGAATATTTGATGTAAAAAGGTGTATGGGTCGTTAGGTAAGTATTATTTTGATGTACAGGATAGCGGAATTTCATAGAAAATTGCTGATACTATAATGTCATATCGAAAAAGTAAACGATAATCTGCATCCAAATTAAATATGCATTTTAGAAGGGTTAGAACTACTGTATGCTTCACTTAACTTGCAGTGATGTCACCATTTACAATGAAAAGTTTTTTTCTTGTTTCCACTACAAATTTTTCAGAAGTTTTACCCTCCAGCTGGTTATCATGGTCGTTAACTCATTTATATCTTTCTTTCGGCAAAAAAAACCAAACTGCTATTAGAAGGTAAGAACTACTTAATTTATCTATGAAATCAAAATGTTCAGTTTTAGTATTTTGCGTAGTTATTCCTTCGTTTCAATCGTAGATGTCTGTAGTGGTCCGACACGTCACTTTTTAGAAGCAGCGGTGAACGCTTTAACCGCTTTGAGTGAGTAAAACACAAATCCATCAAGGCGCTATTTGAGCAATTTATATTACAGGCAGTGGTTTGTCTGGCCAAGAGGTACCTCGTCAACGTCTTTCGCCCGTTCTTTCAGTGTGGCCTTCGTGATTTTATGTGATGCATCTGTCTTTCGTTCAAAAAGTTATTCTCACTTGTGCTGCAGTGTCATGTAGATTCCGTCGATTTGGCTAGCTGCAGCAGATCTTGGAATCCCTCCCATTCTTTTCGAAACTTTCTGCTAAGTGAGAATCCTTATGTCGAGTGTTGGCCGACGGAAACATTCTTTGATCTCTACATACCGTTCGCGGTTCTCGTCACTAGATATTTCCGCTGACCTTTCGACTACTGGTTCCTAGCGACTAGTGTTTAGTGCTTACATCGGTTTTATTTTTGCACTATATTTATTTCCCATTGAAGTATTTCTTTGAATCATTGTTCTCAAACTCTGCCATGTCTTTCATGTGATCATGGAATTGTTTGTTTAGTTTATGATCACATTATTTTGAAAATCAAAGCTGAGTCTCTTCAAAGGGTCTCAACGTACTTCGTCTCTTTCCTGTGTTTCTTAGTTACTTTCATACCAAGTCTCGTCCTGTACAGCTCTCTTTTATTGAGAGCCAGAGTTTTTCACAAATGTCTTTCACTAGTTTATTCATTCGTTTTCTGAAGCAATAGTGGTTTATACGTGACTCTGCTCGTGATTATTGTGGTACCTTGATATTATATTAGCTGTTTACGGTGTCTTCATCGTCTTCTTAGCTCCTGTGATTTCCCTTCGGTAGCGAACCCGATTCTATACAATCATGTGATCGTTGAGCCAAATTCTATTTATAGAGTTCTTTTTAGTTTGATAGTATTGATGATTTCTTTTGAATTGAGACATGCATCATCCAGTCTACAACCTTTTTGATCAGAAGTGATTGAAGAGACATTTTCTGGCGTTGCTATTACGATTGCATTCCTGTTTCTCTATCACTGTGTTCTTGTCTTAACTTCACGAATTCATTGATCCGAAGTTGGTTATCTCGTTAATGACGTTGTACAGCTTTGAGCTTTTTTGGGATGCACTCGTTTCCTTTTCTCCCGAACTTTTGTTTGCGTCAGCTGCCTTTCTTTACAGAGGCAGCGACACCTGACCCTGAACCAAACAGCGTAGACGAAATTCGAAATTTACGATTTGACAGAGGGATTTTGAGGATAGCAAAAACATATTCCCGTTCTTAAGAAAATGTTTTAAATGTTTTTTGCGCACCTTTGCGAAGTAATTTTTTGAAAAGGTAGCATTTGATTGGTGAAGATAGATAACGTCGAGGTAGGGTGGTGACTTTAGGGTGCCCAGCTTTTTGTGACCATCCTGGCTCAAGAGGTATGTGCTTCTGTCATGGTTGCACTGCATCTAAGGGGACATTCAACTAAAGCGAAGATCCTCGTTTATTGTGTTCCCTGAATAGAGGAGGGAGAGCTGGTCAGCTCGCATGAAAAACCCTTAAAACATTTGGATGCATATGCTTGTAATGTTCTATAATAGAAAATAGAAATGCAATAAGCAAAAAAGGCGTCTTGAATTTTATTACACTTGTTTGAGCTGATCTGGGAGCTAATCATATTGAGACTAAAATTTACGCTATGTAGTAAGTTCTTGGAAATAACAAAGTTTTTCAATTTTTCTGCGTACTATATCAAATTCATGGGTAGCACGTTTTTATTAATGTACTCAAAATGCATTATTGAACTACTTTCTTATCAAATACACATAGAGAATGCCCGCTCACAAATGATCCTGTCCCTAGCATGCCCCCTTATGCGGAATTATCCTTTGCAGCTTGCCAAAAAAAGTTGCCCCTAAAATCAAAGCATTGGAATTATGGAAATGAGTCATTTTATTTGTGGCTTTTCTATTCATATTCAAGTACATGCCCGATCCAAGGAACTCGTGTGTAGTTGCGCAGGCTCCTGTAACGACTCGATACATTTAGCTTGCTGTGCAGATTATTCTATGACTTAGAAGATCAGCAACCTGTTTGTGCATTCGAACTTATTAACTATTAGCTGTGTCGTGCCATCTAGTACATGTATTTTGTTATTGCTATTTTGATAGTTTCCATAAAAGTTGCAAATATTTCATTGATTGTTGTAAAACATTCTTATTGCAAATACTATGTGTTTTGTGACACAATACTCTAAGTCGCTTTCTATTTGACTAAAATGCTCACTGTTGCGCAGAAGTTTGCTTGATTTGTCATTTTGCACCCGCTTTTCTCTGTAAATAACTGTTTTTTCCAATTTCACAGGACAGGTGCAAACTGAAAGCGGGCTACTGCTATAGCCTGTTTGATTGTGCCTGAAGTACGAATGCCACTTTGTCCGCAGCAGCACAAGAAGAGAAGCTGTTAGTTTCCAAGGTGATCTAAGAAAGATTATGCTTGTGCTGCTGCAAATAAAACAGCACTCGTCAAGCTTAGGTAGCAGCTGTGTTCATTCGGCGCAGCGATCGGCCTATCCAGGCAATTACACAACACTAGCGCGGAGTTACGCCGGTAGTAATATGAACTTAAAGAGTTTGTTTAGGATCAAGAATCTTGGCCTCCTTATTTGGCGCAAAGCCGCTCGCGTATCGTAAAATGTCTGAAATCAGCCTACCGATTTTTGGCGATTTAAGATGTAGACACCATCAGAAGAATATACGTGTTTTCATTGAACGTATAATAAAGTTATTTGCACGCGCCCAAGTATGATAACCCAACGTAAGTTTTGGAACAAGTTACGGTAAGTTCATAGTTATGAAGCGAGCACCGTATCGCTGAAGACACAAACTATCTTTGAATGGAAAGTTAGGTTCAAGCTAGTTCCCCATAAACCCTAAGACATAGAAGAAATTTGGATTCAGATAGCTATCAGCCATAAAATATTGAGCACTTTTTTCAAAACATTCTTAATATGGCTTGCATTATGCTATTGTTACATATTGTTAAAGAATAGGTTATTTTCGCTGTGTGTAACATCGATGCAGTACGCTGAACACAATTTTGTGAGAGTAAATAAATTATGGAATTTGCAGTCAAATCAAATTTTCATGTTCATGATGATGGTAACTAATATATGCTATTTCAATGATGGTCCTTATTACTTCAGCAAGACTCCGTACTCTCACGATTACCGCCTGAAATTTCTGACCTTTTCTAAATAAAGGCATTTGCTTGAGAATTTGGCTGGTATCAGCTACTTGGAAAAAAGCATAATTTTTTAAACTCATTTTTTGAAGGCTGAATAAGCATGGAGTTACTAATGTTTTCCGCCGCTTGAATCAGCGAGCATACGCTTATTCACTCAGCCTATTACCAACATGTAGCGTAAAATATAATTGAAAGAAAGGAGGTGACAGAGGGAAGAGAGGGGAAAAGAGGAGGGAGGGGGAACAGAGCGAGAGAGAGGAAAGGGAGTAAGATGAAAGTGGTAAGAGGAGCAAATGCGGTAATCAGTCAGCACTACATGGCTAGAGTTCGATAGAGAATATGACTCAATCCATTTCAATTTTGAAGCAGAGTAGCAATTCTCTACTAGCATATGGCGTCATTCATCCATCTTATAATGCACAACAACCATTGTTCACTCAAAAGATATGAGAAAGTTGCTGAATCTTTCATCAAACTTTCAATATTTTGCAGTATGTGCGAAGTACAGAAAGGGTGTGTATTGGCAGCACTATTTGAAAAAGGTGTTTTCTTTTACAGAATCGTAGAAATGAGAACAGCAGTTGATTCTTTAGAATAGGGCATCCCTGTTATTCGGTTACCTTACTACTGAGCTTCTACCTATTTTTGATATTCTCCGAGCATAAAAATGTTTATTACTGTACAAACAGTTTTTTCTCTACGGCGTTCGTAGTAAAACCAAGACATTCATTGCTGTAGACGCGGTGAGAATCGATGGAAGTGGGAAATTGAAACATTAATAACTATAAAAGTGTCTCGTTGTTTGTTGGAACTGTCCGTTGGGCGAATATTGGGGAGGAATGTATTCCCCGTGAATACTCGGAGCCTGTAATGAAGTATTACGTGAGGATGCTTTGTAATTAACACGATTTCAAAATGTTCATCACGGTTATGTAGATGCAAGTGCAGCTTATGTATAGGGTCTACAAAATGGACTATCACTGTCTTATTAGCTATACATGATTTTGCAAAAAGTCTGCTTTTTTAAGGCGCCAGATTCGAGCGAAAAGTAAACAACGAACCTCTAGCGGCGATTTACTTCTTTGTTCAGTAAAATCTTGCGCTATCGTAGGATAATGATTGTCTGCAGCATTAGTTTGCGTTCCGCGGCTGAAAAATGTCAGAGCCGCCAGTAGAATCGCTCCAAAAGCCGAGAACACAAGCATTAAAAGAGCAGTGCAAGCAAGATAGAAAGAATATCCGTAGCTTTTCTAAAATGTATGGCTAGATCAAAGAGATTAGATTTAACTGTGAACCAATCGTCTTTGAATAAATTCAAAAGCGCCTACCTCAAAAGTATTCTTAACTCCAATCAAATATTTCGATTCCAACATCTCGGCATTCACAACGAATACAATCAAAGAAATACCGAGGAGAAGTACTAAAAACTTAAGATGGAAGCTCCGCAATTTTAGTGCCTTTTTTCTTTTTCGCATTATGTTTAGAAATGGGTAGGACCTTACCAGCAAAGCAGATGAATGCGTCAAACAAAATTGTGAATATTCGCCGTCGTTCCGGTCTTTTATAACGCAGAGCCGCTACAACGACACCACACGATATGAGGCAGATGGTAACAATATTAAGGACCAAAACAGCATAGTGCCAACCTGTAAAAAAACAAATATTCTTTAAACGCTTAGATACATCCCTGCTAAATCTTCAAAGCTTTGTAAGAAAGAGGAATCTAAAATCATTTGCATTACGCATTCTGTTCGCCTTAGCTTTTGATAGTGCAAATCTTGAAATCCTACCAAAGAAATAAGGCGTCCGAAGAAGTTTTTTGCGACAGTCTCCAATCAGTAAAAATCGGCAAACATCAACCTGGAGTAACAAATTCAATGATAAGATGTTCAATTGCGATCCGGTGAGTGCATGCCTGCATTAGACTTCAAATATCATAGAACTACTTCAATGCGTATCAAACCCGTATAGCGACAATCAGGGGCCAGCCTTCATCACAGTGCTCTAATCTTCCCCACCCAACGTGATGAACAGTTGGGTTGGCTGATGGTGACTTACAACATCTAGTCAAAGCTTTTGCCACTACACATGCACACGCTCCCCTCCCCCAACCCGAGGAAGGTTTTAGTCATGAAACATGTTTTTTAGGGTGCAGAAGACAGATGGCATTGTAAAGTTTTTGCGAAGTTGCAGCCTACAAAAAGTTTACCCCAAAGCTTATACCTTAATAAAGACACAAGCTGCTAGCCAAATAGTTGATTTACTTATGCGTAAAAGACAAGCATTTAACAGTTTTCCTCCTTTTTCATGAGCCAAGCTTGTTCTGGAAATTGTTTGCACAAAAATCAGAAGTCGTATGAACGTATACCTTTTCATAGTAGTTTATGAGATTGTCGCTAAAGATGTACCAACATTGTGTAGCTCCAGGACAGTACAACCATAATCCAGATTGAACATAACGTCCCACATCGGTGTCTTCAGCCACCTGTGACTAATGGTGTTTATTGAAAGCGATATTAAACCGCAAATCAGCAACATCACCTGCCAGGCTGGTGTTAGTGTTCCAATAATTAATAAGACGTTAGCAGCTATTGACAGAAGCCATACAACAAGCCAACATCTTTCAAGCCTTGCGTTTGTTTCCATCCAAGTAAACCTTCAATGTTTTGCCGGATTTTAACGGAACTTGAAGCTTTTATAATAAAGAGGTCACGTTGGCTTGTGATGAACTTGGAATGAGAAGGTAAGATATCAACAGAGAATTGAGATTGCCTTCTCAGAGAATTGAGTGTGTAGTTCCATGAAATTTTTTCGTGTTTTATGCAACTTTCTGCTGAAGAAAGCGTCTTCGAGGGGAAGAGACCATATAATGCTGCAGACAAAAAAGTTTCCAAGTCTCCAACTTTTCTGTCATTTCATAAGCGTATAACAATGTAATTCGAACTTCTGTCAGCTTACATCCGATGCAATTTGCCCAGAAAGTAGACGCTGAGTAGAAAAGAGGCACACTGCCAAAAAGAGTACACTTTAAAAAACATCTAAACTCCATACCCATTTAAAATAGAAAATCAATGCCAAAGTAACCATGACGACGGGGACTAAACTGGAGACACGATGTTGAAAGAAACTTGCATTTGGGAGATTAGATAAAGTACGTAAAGATAAAAAAAAAACCACTCTTTTTAAGAGCATATCCCATGCTTATCATCGAGCCACGCCCTGTTATTGTCGGTACTGCCTCTGTAGATGCTATCACAGTTGATCAAAGAAAGTCATGTGGACGTTTGAAATGAAATGTTAGTAGAGATATCTGACATAGTTTTAGATCTGTGTTCCGTATCTACTAAACGATTCCCGCGAGAAAGTTATGAAGGAGAGTATAAACAGAAGTTCGAATAGCATATCAAAATGAATTCAGCTAGATGAACTGGGCAGCAGTAAGTTTCAATTCCTAATGGTGCTCTCATTTTTGATCAAGCAAGGTATCGCTTTTCGTGTGTGTGCGCAGCTAACATGTAAATGTTAAAAATGAGAAACAGCACCGGAAGCATTGTCAAATGATTGAAACTCTCATTTTCAGAAAAAAAATTCAAAGGCGCTCTTGCACACTCAATGCCTAGAAGTTGAACCCGCTGAAACTTTGAAAAAAAAAAAACCACAGCAGTTTGACATTTTGATTATACAAATCATAATCAATCCGCACGCTAGCCCTTACATAGGACCAGAGGTGTATGGTTACAAGATCTGATACGCTAGATGGATTTGGATGTATTACTATTGTGGTTGTATTATTTCGTGCAGCATAAAGAGAGCAAGAGTTAATCATCTGTCCGAAGTCTTGCTTGAGGGCCCATATTTTGAAGTCGGACACAATGGAAGCTCCACTATCCTTCTTAAAGAGTTTCGATAAAATCTAAAGTTCAAAGTACATGGACGCTAAATGGGCAATATGTTGAAACTAGCCAAGCGCAGCTTGGCGGCTCTTTGTCTAGGAATAGTGCGTGTGTAGTTTCCATCTAAAAGGCATCCTAGCCAGAGCCGAGCTCGCTGCACTCCGCCAAGTTGAAATAATTTTTGCAGAGAGTGATGCTTTGAAATTTCGACTCCTTTCCAGAACATGTCAGGAGATAGAAGAGCTTTGGCAAGTTAAAAAAATAAAAGAATTGAGAATTGAGGAAAGGAAAGTGACGCAATGCAGGCGCATTCCTTGGCTCCTTTAAAATCAGCAATAATCACAGTTAGTGCGAAACGTCTTCTCGCTGGACGTGTACGCTCCGCTACATTTCTCGTTGTAGATTTTATCGTATTTGGCGAGTCTGGAGCTGCTGCGCACCACATTTGCGCCTATATCCCCAGAATTTCACTTAAGGATAATCAAACAATGCATAAATGCATAATATTATGACTCGCTAAACATCGTATACCCATCGCAACTATGTAAGAATAAGTTAATTACTCATTATATGATTCTTTAATGTGCTAAACATAGGTGAAGGCGGCTGTTGCACGTAGGATGCATGGAAAATGTTCAATGTAATGCAGCTTTATGACATTGTGAGCATGCGCTGTGAGAGCTGCAGCAAACATATATGCGTGAGAGGAGTTAAAAATTAGTTTGCGCATTCCCTCAAAGGATGGACAAATAGT